CTAAGTAGTCTAGCCACAGTATCAGGCAAGGAAAAAAACAAAACAAAACCCCAGAAGCACTTAGTCTGACAAAGGTGAAGAAAAAAAGTTTGTGACTGAAACCTTGGTCATAAACGTAGCTATATCCATTTCCATCCCGTTTTAGGATTTGTCTGTCATATGTGAACCCAAATAATATTAATGCAAAGTTCCACCTGCCCTAAATTTTCATCTCGGCTCTTAATGGGAGAGCAATTTGAAGCAAGACACGTACCCTCTCCCCCCACCACTCTCTCTCTCTCTTTCTCTCACTCTCCCACGTTTATTTCAACCCTAATTGGTTTCCATCTTCTTCTACGTGTCTAGTGGATAATACGCACCTTCTCTGAGTCAGAGACTACAAAAAGCAAAGGAACAAATGGAAAAAGCGCAGCTAGGAAAGTGGGGGCTACAGAGCTGCTTCAGGCTACAGTTCCTAGCCAAACTTCCCAAAGCCATTTCTCGAAAGGAAAGTCTTGAGGACAACAGCGGAGTAAGATAGCCCCCACTTACAAGGTGAATTTCAATCTCCCCCTCCCAGCACTGAAATTCTTTAATGACACAAATGCATCCTACACCAAATTGACTTATCTTGCCCCCCCATGAATGAATAAATAAATAAATAAAGACTTCTGACATATTGGAAGAAAGGGGAGTGAGGAGATTAGGAGGGAAAAAGAAAAACAGGGATGTGGAAGAGAGGAACACAGGAGTGGATGGAGGTGGGGGAGGAATACAGTACTAGGACAGCTGCCCAAGGACCTGGATAATATTTGGCCTTGTAACTGAGATAGGTATAAAATGCATATAGATAGAATATGCAATTTTTATTTAATAAGAAAAATCACACACACACACACACACACACACACACACAGAACACTACCCATCAGTGAAAGGGGAGGGGATCTAGAGAAGAGTTGCAACTCATTCATTGATAAACAGCAATTTTGAGATTTCAGTGAAAACTTGAGACTGAAGTAGTTCTGGATTTCCTTTCACTTTCCATGTGCCAAAACATGAAACAAGGGAAGAACTAAAAGCACACTACCAATAACTGCTTAGCCATCAGTCAGTTGGTGTGCGAGCCATACTTTTAGAATGCAATGCACAATATTGAATAAGTAGTACAAATCTCCACATTTTTACATAGGATGTATGAGGTTTTTTTTTTTTTTGGATGAATGTCAAATGATAAGAGCACATCCAAGTAAACTGCAGACAATATTTAATCTCCTTTCAATTATTTTAGCAAGATGCTAATTGATAAGTAGTAATAGTAATAAAGCGTGCATATTTACCATGGATCTAGCTGCTGATTAGAATTTACTCAATGTATTTAAGCTCACAGTTTTTACTTTGGTTTAACAGACTTTTGGGGGTTTTGGTTTTTTGTTTGTTTGTTTTACAGCTGTTGTTAATTTCCACCGTTGTTTCTTACCGCACTGAAATCCAGTAAATCACTGAGTTCTTTGTCCGTCCCTAAGGCAGCCATTCGCTGTTGGTGATGCATTTTAGCAAAATCACACAAACCTAGAAACATGGAAATAACCGCAATCAGAAACCCAGTCCCGAGCCTTAGAGGAAACAACAATCGGATTTTTTTTAAAATGAGACTAGCAAGGGGAGAGGGAGGTTGAGGAGGGAGCGGGGGCGGTGGTGGAAGGATAACGATAATGAGGAGGAAGAGGATAGGAAAGGGGATATGGTGTAGTTCCAAAGAATCGTTGGAAACCCAGTTATCAAGCACTCTAACCCCAAGTCTAGAAAAGAGAGTGAGCGAAAGAGAGAAGAGGAACCGCGCCATGCAGCGCATCGTTTATGCAACAGGAGGTTCAACCAGAAATGAATGAAAAATCCAAAGTAGAAACTACAGCCATCTGCTCTCAACTTTCTTTTTATTTATTTTCCACCTTTTCCCCTTCTTCCATACAAAGTTAACATTCCCAGATATTTTTATCAACGAAGTCTTCAGAGCAGACTATCTGTACAATAAAATACACTCGGTCCGTACAGAGGGGGGGGGGCATCCGAAGATGGATGGAGAGCCTAGGGAAGGGGGAAACGAGAATCAGCCCTTTAACCATCACATTTATTTTAAGAACGCTGCTTAAAGACTAGAAAAGGAGAGAAAGAGAGTTAAGCCTTGGCAGTTAAATATCTAATTAATGAAAGATAACTGAGACTCGAAAGTATAACTGAGACGAAAGGACATTTCAGGCCCCGTTTGCAAGAAAGTCGGCCGTTTCTTTAGAGAGGGGGAAAAAAGGAAAAGGAGGGGTAAAAAGGGGGCCATTGCATCCCTTTCCCCGATTTGCAAACCCAGGTTGATTGGGGGGGGCGGCGGGATTCTCATGTTTAAATGAAGCCCATCACCAGACCTTGTCCTCGCTCCTTCCATATAACACCACAGCTATATCTAACTCCAGTCTAAAGAGGGGGGGGCATCTCCGGTACCTACCGGCCGAAAGAGAAGAGAAGGGGCTCCCTTTCCGACCACAGCCCCGAGCTCTCGGTTTCATTGCTCGAAATCACGGCATCCACCAACCGCACATACAACACGCAGGAGAGATCGAGAGCGCGAAAGGGGGGGAAAAAGAGAGACCCCGCTGGCGCCACGCGAAAAGCTCTCCCCGAACTCGAAGGGGGGAAAGAGGGGAGAAGAAGACGCGGCGGAGGTGGGAGGAAGCCCCTGATTCCTAAACCGAACTCCTTTTTTTTTTGCAGCCGGGGGGGGAAGCGAAACGGAGAGGAGGAGGGAAAGGGGGGGACACAAATCACGGCGCACCCCCCCCAAACACGCGCACACCAACAAACCCAAATAAGCCCGGACTGCAAGTTCAGCAAAGAAAAGAGGGAGAAAAAAAGCAACTCAGCAGTAGCTGCAGCTCAAGCCGCAACGCTACCCTGATGCTGGCTTGGCTTTCCAAAGGATCTCCCCACCACCACCACCATCACACACACAAACACACAGCCGCTCCCTTAAGGAAATACATGTGTGTGCGTGCATATGTATGCGTGTGTGTCGATATAGATACACAGATCTGCATGCAGTAAAAGTAAACGGGCACCTCGTTTTCGTCCATGCCCCTGATCATGTCGCTGCAAACCTGGACGTTAGTTGTCTGTGCCTTTTCTTTTTCGCCCGCCTCCCTTCACGTCCCCAATCCCCAAGCACTTTTAAGATTTATTATATAAAATATTTCTTCCGCAATTCCTACACACACGCACGCGCGCACACACACACGTAAAAGCACAGGGAAGCAAACCAACTTTATACACCGGTTGAAATGCACGTGATAGAAAGACTTTGCCAAGACGAACAATATTCTCGTCTCTTTCCCCCGCCCCGCACCACCGTTTCATTGTTCAGAATAGTTCTAAAAATTCAGATTCCTTGCCCGATGTGTCTCTTTTATTTTAAAATGTCCCATCATGGTACGGTTTAAGATCCGATTTTGTCTGGAGAGAGAGGTTTACTTCAAACTTCCCCAAAACTAAACGTTCAACTGGCTTTTCGCACAACTAAGTTTTCTAACGACTACGCCAGTCCCCTCCTCCCCTCTCCCCCCCCCACTTTACAGGGACCTTCTACTTTAATTTCAAAATGTTGGTGCTACAGGCCTCATATTATTGTCCCCTCCCAGCAAGAAAACCGAATTGATTTCCCCCTTCTCCCGAATTCGTGGCAGAAACAAATCCATTACTCGCGAGCTGTACGGTAACCTTCATTTCATTTCATGCACATGTATTTGTCTTAGTTGTGCACTCACTTATTGTTAGGTGTGCGAATACTTCCTTACACATACAGCGTAGTTCATTTCATACTGTCCAAGTTGTATCAAGTTAAAAATACACTGGGATCAACAGTTAAATATATCTATATATATACATACACACACATATATACTGTATTTCAAAAATTATTCCAAGAGGAAATTGTAACTTTACCTTAAGTGGCCACAAATATTTTCACAATATTCCAAGGAAAGGTATTTTAGGGAAAGAAAAGAGAAATCTTCTGCAAAGGTGCTTTATTATCTCACGTGTGTTTGACTCTCAAAAACAGAAGTACTTTTAATTCGTACTCAGTCTTGATCCAGAAAATATTCCATAAATTTCAAACAACTTTATAACCTGGTGAGGGGTTTTGCTTTGTTTTTTTGATTATCCAGTATTAGGCAATTGCCATCAAAGTCTTCCCACCCAAACAGAGCAAAACTAAAAGCCAGGAAAAAGGAAAACGTCACAACAGAAGATCCAGTAACTTTCTCTAGTGTCTTTCGTTACAACAAGCACATGGCTGTTAAATAAACTATTTTCAAAAAAAAAAAAATCTCGGTGCCAGCACGATACCCCTCCCCTCGCCTGTTTGCTTGTTTGTTTAACAACAACAAAAGAAGTCTTAAACTTGTTCCAACTTTACAGAGCTCTCCTCCTTCTCATCATCCTCATCATCACCATTGATTCCCCCACGGAGAAATTGATAGTAATACGTTTCCCTGAAAGATACATTGTAATCCATTCACATCCGGGCAATGCAGTGGTGATTATAAAGAGAGGGGGCGAAAAAAAAAGAGCTGCTGCTGCTGCCACCGCCACCGCTGCTGCCGCCGCGCGTTGCTTGCTTCTGCCGCGTCGGCGATTACAAGGCGTGACGACAAAAGGAAGGAGGGGAGCGCAGGGAGCATAGAGAGGTAAACAGTCCGCCTAGAACGTCGACCAAGATGGAGGAATCCGAACGCCGGGCGAGGAGGAGGAGGGAAGCGGAGCGAACTGAGGGAGGGTTGGAAATTCGGTGCTCCGTTCTTTTTGCGCGGGCGGGCGCACATGCGTAGGCACCGAAGCTAGTCAAGAGGCTATGTTGGCAACGACGAACGATGGGAGCAACCAGAAATAAATACAATTTTAAAAAAAAAGCTTCCGGGACAGGGTGTGTTTTTCTCTCTCTTTTTGTCTGTGATTCTAAGCAGCTAGTTTTTATAAACGCCTCAAGCGCCTCACTCCGCATGGACGCCGCTAGCTCGGGACTTCTTAAAAGAGTTATAGGTTGGGAAAGTCACTAGTGAAGCTCTGAACGACCTCCAAAAATGTGGGGGGGGGAGGTAGTCAGTCTCCGGACAAAACTACATTGCCCCCACAGGAAAAGCCCTGTGGGGAAAAATGCTCTTCGCTCGTGTGGCGGTCCAATAAGTAAAGCATAAATACTGTAAATAAAACACGCAGATACGTGTCAAACCAAACGCCACGCTGTGGAATGTGTGGCTGTTTTAAGATGGACACGAGACTCCCGTTTTCTGAAACTTCCTCCCACAAACTACTGTTTCCCCTGTATAAGCCATTTTGGGTAGCACAGGGTAGAACATTGTGGTTTTATGTTGATTTATTGGCAGTATTTTGTACTTCTTTTATGTGAAAATAATAAACAACAACAATAAACAACTTCACTTCAGTGCCTTTGAGTCAGACGGAAACAATGCCTAGGTCAAACCGCATGGATTCAACACAAAAAGCCACAGAAATACCATAAAGACAGCTGGTGTTAAATGTTTGACACGTGGGGTGCTCTGCCTCCTCAGATAACTCTCTTTCCACACACTCTCCTCTGCCCTTTTCGTCCAAAAGTCTACAACCCTTGCTGTCTCAGAGGATATATTGACACCCACCTCACCCCTTTCCACCAATTACAATAGATATACTGTAATAGAATTAATATCAAGCCTCCTGTAACACACTTGTCCCCAACCTTTCATCTTTTCCATGACAGTTGAAGGCCTGCCTTTTTGGCTAGTTTTTTAATAACTAAATGAGCAAGATTAGTCCCTTGCGGATGCTAGACATACGTTCCTTTTAAGTGTATTCTTTAAAAGCTTTTAAACTTAAAATTACTATCCTAGGTTTAATTGCTTTCTAACGTCACCATTTATTGTGAGGCTCCTTGAGTCCCCTCACGGGGAGAAAGGCAGCTTAGAAATGAAACAAACAAATAATAAATAAAATTTGTTTCCAAGGATGCCACTTCAGCAATTATTCGGAATTGGGGAGAATTTGCAATACTGTTCAAAGGCCTACTTGTACATATGTTCAATATTAAATTGTGTGGAAAGCTACATATTTTGAAAGCATCTGTTTTGGTTGCTTTTTTAAAATTCATAGTCAGAGACACCACTTCTGTAAGAGGGGTGGAAATCACACATAAAATGAAGGAAGTGAGCCATTTGTCCTCTGTGCTCTCCTGAAATGGCATCCATCTTTCCCATCCATGGCTTTTTTTTTTTTTTTTTTTGAGGTTATTCTTCAGCCAGACCGAACTCCTACAATATATGTGTGCTAATTGTTGCTTTTCAAGGAAGGGTGACTAAATCTTTTCTCCTCCATGGAGAGAACATCCAAATTCACGAAATAAACATTATTTTTTCTGATGACAATTTATAGCACTGGTTCTTAACCTATGGTTACTCAGGAGTTTTGGACTGCAACTCCCAGAAGCCTTCACCACCATCTGTCCTGACTGGGGTTTCTGGGAGCTGCAGTTCAAAAGCATCCGAGTAACAAAGGTTAAGAACCACTGATTTATAGGCATGGGAGGTATAACCTTCTCTCTTGGTGATCCTGAGGGGAATTCTGCAAGAGAGCTGCTTTCCTCCATTGGCCTGAGGAAAACTTTAAGGAATCCCACTTTCTGCCCCTTATTTTCAGGAGGAATAGGACCTTTCTTGCCCATGTTGACTTGGCTTACATGAAATATGTGCATGGGTGTCCTGTACCTTCAGCTACCAAGTTCTCAAGATGGGTGCTAAGTCCTATCAAAATGTTTACGGGGAGCAGATGAAACCACAAAGACATTAATAAAGAAGGGCAACATTGATAACTGTTGGCAAAATAAGAGCAAAAGACACTCATATTTCATTTCATAAGTATGTATTAGGGCTTTTACTTGTCTTTGTTTCACCATTGAAATTGTAAGACAGAATCTGGGCTGAAGGCAGTGCACACATTCGGCAGGGATACCGAGGTAATGATAAAATCAACCAGCAAGAAAAGTTTCATATTACTGAGGGAAATGGAACCTCAAAAATACTATACTCACCGGTCGAGTCCTTCTCCTGAATGATTGCCCTCAGTGAACAGGCTGGTGCGTTTGGTACAATTCAAAGTGCTGGCTTTAATGTATGAAACCCTAAATGGCCTGGGTCCCAACCTAGCTCAAGGACCGGGTCTCCTTTTATGATCCTGCCCAGGTGTTAAGATCATCAAGAGAAGCCTTTCTCATGGTCCCCACACACACACCTTCACAGGTACATTTGGTGGGGACACAGGAGGGGGCCTTCTCTGTGGCTGCTCCCAGACTTTGGAACTCCCTCCCACTGGAGGCCAGGCTGGCCCCACCTTTGCTGTCCTTCCTCAAGCTTTCTCTTCAGGCAGCCTTCTCCTGAATGACTGGCTGTCTGAGAGGGTTTTTTAAATGTATTTTTGTTGCTTTAAAATCTGTTTTAGTAATGCTTTTATCTAATGTTTTCAATATGATGTTTGTTTATTTTTTAAAAAAATATTTGACAATGTATTATTTTTAATATTGTTTCTTTTTAATAATGTAAGCTGCCTTGGGTCCTTTTTTTAAAGAAAAAAGGCAGGCTAAAATTATTTTAAAGAAATGAAAC